GCTAGCCTGGGCAAGGCCTAGGGCAGCCTGTGCTGTGCTCCCAGAAGGGGCGGGGCCTCAGGCAAAAGGGGCGGGGTTAGCCTCCCCCAGGCAGCCCTCCAGGAGCACACCGCACAGGGCTCTGGCGGCTGCAGTAACAACAGTGGTAGCCAGGAACCCCAGGCCCTTTTGAATCACCGAGCCCCGGGGCAGCTGTCCCTTTCCCCCACTACAGTTGATGGGCCCGGCTAGCCTGCAGAACAGGGACAAACAGCAAGCGTACTTTCCTATTCAGGGAGGAGGCTGCCTGCAGAAAGAGCTCTGATTAAAGGAAACTCCACCTCTACTTCAATAAAGCCACTGTCCCCTCCAATGCACATGTGGTTACTACCTCTCTCCCTCATCCTGGGGAAGCTCAAGTCAAAAACAGAGGCAAGAAGGGGGAGACAGATGTCAAGCCAGCCTGCCCCATAGCTTTTGAACATCTACTGCTTCTGCAGAAGACAAGCAGCGCTTTTTTCATATTTCCATTCTTCATATATCACAAACACATGGATGAATATAATTTGTTGGGGGAAGTCAACATGGTTTCTGTAAAGGGAAATCCTGCCTTACTAATCTACTAGAGTTCTTTGAGGGGATCAACAAATATGTGGACAAGGGGGATCCAGTAGATATAGTGTACTTAAATTTCCGAAAAGCCTTTCACGAGGTTCCTCATCAAAGGCTCTTAAGTAAAGTAAGTTGTCATGGGATAAGAGGGAAGGTCCTTTTGTGGATTGATAACTGGTTAAAAGACAGGAAACAAAAGGTAGGAATAAAGGGTCAGTTTTCATAGTGGAGAGAGGTAACTAGTGGGGTCCCCCCAGGGTCTGTCCTGAGACCAATCCTATTCAACTTATTCATAAATGATCAGACAAAGGGTTAAACAGTGAGGTGGCAAAATTTGCAGATCACACCAAACTGCTCAAGGTAGTTAAGACCAAAGCAGACTGTGAAGAGCTTCTAAAAGATCTCACCAAACTGAGTGATGGGGCAACAAAATGGCAAATGAAATTGAATGTGGATAAATGTAAAGTAATGCACTTTGGAAACAATAGTCCCAACTATACATACAATAGGATGGGGACTAATTTGCCTACAACTACTCAAGAGAGAGCTCAGAGTCACTGTGGATAGTTCTCTGAAACCATCCACTCAGGGTACAGCGGCAGTGAAAAAAGCAAATAGAAGTTAGGAGTCATTAAAAAAGGGATAACGAATAAGACAGAAAATACCTTATTGCCTCAATATAAAACCATGGTACGGCCACAGCTTGAATACTGTGTACAGATGTGGTTGCCTTAGCTTAAAAAAGATATATGGCATTAGAAAAGGTTCAGAAAAGGGCAACAAAAATGATTAGGGGTTTGGAACGGGCTCCATATGAAGAGAGATTAAGAAGACTGGCACTTCTCATCTTAGAAAAGAGGAGATTAAGGGGGGATATGAGAGAGGTCTATAAAATCATGACTGGTGGAAAAAGGGAATAAGGAAAAGTTATTAGCTTATTCCCACAATATAAGAACTAGAGGTCACCCAATGAAATGAATAAGCAGCAGGTTTAAAATAAATAAAAGAAATTTTTTCTTCACTCAGCACACAGTCAACCTGTGGAACTCCTCGCCAGAGGATGTGGTAAAGGCTAGAACAGGGTTCAAAAAAGAACTGGATATATTCATAGAGGTTAGGTCCATCAATGGCTATTAGCCAGGCTGGGTAGGAATGGTGTCCCTAGCCTCTGTTTGTCTGGAGGTGGGGGACAGGGGAGGGATCACGAGATGATTCCCTGTTGTGTTCCCTCCCTCTGGGGCACCTGGCACTGGCCACTGTGGGCAGACAGGACACTGGGCTGGATGGGCTGTTGGTCTGACTCAGTCTGGCCGCTCTTATGTTCCATGGAAAATACGTATACAAATGCTCCAGGGTCTCTGACAAACAGCCCTATCCACCTTCTCACTCTGTTGCACAAACATAAATTTGAGTTCTGACTTCCTCAAACCATCCAGTACAATGTAAGAGTCAATGTGATGCAGGCAGGGGTCTCTATGGCAGCTGTCAATGCCCTGACCAGAGCCAAGGCCCCAGCGCACATCACGTAACACCAGCACGCAGCCCACGACTACAAAGTGCACTGTTTGCAGGCCGCCAATCAGACTGACTCCTCTTGGAATCCCTTCTCGGCTCCCCCTCGCCTACGGCATCAACCTCACAGCCAAAGCTTTGCACGACTCCAACCCAGCCTTCATGTCACATCTCAACTGCTTGGCTTGGATGCCCCCACGGCTCATCAACAATGCCAGCCATGAAACCCACCCCAAACTCCTGCCTTCACATCTTCTTCCACACTGTCCCAGAAGCAAGCATGGAATGACCTCTCAAACCAACCTGTCAGGACCCCAGCTTTCCCCATTCAAATCCCTCCCTTCTCACACAGCTGCCACACTGCAGACTGGAGAAGGCACCAGAGAGAAGAGCGATGAAACACAGCAGTAAGGTAGCTTTCCCTGGTCTCCCTCACTCTCCCAGTTTGCTCAGAGCTCACTGTATCACCCAGCACCAAACACATTCAACAGCAGATCGTCTGAAGCAGAGCTGGCCAGGAGGAGGACAGATACGTCCCTGATGTGCATCCGGGCAGTGCTTTCCGTCCAAGGCTCTCAAAATGCTTCACAAGCATTCAGCAGCATCACCATTTGGTATGAAGGTGACAGGTGAGGCAGAAAGGTGAAATGACTTGCCCTTGGTCACACAAGCTGCATGATAAGGCAGGGAATACAGCCTAGGAACCCTGGCTCCCAGCACTAGGTCAACTCCCCAGCACAAAACCCCTGTGCAGGCTGGTTTTCTAAGCTCCTCTTCCACGTAGTTCTTGTTTACTCACTGCAGCGAGGCTCTACCCAAGTCATGCGGCATCAGGTCTGCGTATCTGGAAGGTAAGACAGAGTGAACTCATTCAGAGCGCGCATTAATAGAACAGAGTATGGCATCCAATGAGCAGTCATGGAGCGTCTACACTTAAACATGGGCATTTCACAGCCTTCTTTGTGGAGACCAAAATATCCACATGCGGGGAACCAGCCTACAGTCACTGAAACAAGATACAGCAGTAGCAGTCTCAACTCTAGGGAAGTATTAGAAACGGTCCCGATTCAGCTATGACGTTGAAGGCATTAAGTAACAGGTTTCTAACAAAATCATATGATGTCATTTACTCCTGCCAGGACGACCGGACTGTGCCTGGGTCTTGAACCCAGTTTTCAATCATAGGTGTAGTCACATGAATGGCATCTAAAGACATATCTGTTGGGCTGCATGTTGCTATGTACAGTGGCTCTATGTCAAGCCTGGAAAATCTAACCTCCCAACCCAGCCCAATATACACGCGATTTTCTCTGTTATCACTGGAAGGCAAAGAATACAAAGAAGAAAGAGAGGAAGCCCTAGCTCACCACTGCTGTATATAAGGTACCACATGGTCGCAGCTGCAGCCTTAGTTGATTGCAATCTTTTAGGCGAGTCTAACCCCTGACGAGACACTGGAGTCACAAGATATGTATTCTAACTCCTGGGGAAATCACATAACTCTAGAATGCCCAACTCCTTCATGCTTCTAATATGTAGCAGGGCTCGCAGATAGTTCTACCTGTGTAACAGAAACCCACAATCTTGTCAAGACTAAAAACACAACCCAAGGAAGGGACCAGAACAAACCACCAAATCTAGAAACCCAGGGACAATCAGAAAAACAAGTTGTTTAGCTCCTTGCAGCTATTCCATTGGTTATGTTTTCCTCTTATGCGTAAGAGTATCTACAATGTCAGGACAGCGAGCAAGCACACATCAGGCACAGAGCAAAGTGAGTGCAGCTAGAGAGGTACAACTATACCAAGCCCAACGGCTTCCGTTCAGATTCTACCTGTATCTTTCCACACAATTAACCAAAGCAAAGGGGTGTGATTTTTTTTCATACTTACGAGGTGCCAGATTGCAAAAATGGAATGCGGACCCCGTCCACCACCACGATATTCTTCACACCATTTTTGGCTAAGGTTTTCTTACTTTTGGGCTGGACTGTTTGAAGAGAATATGTAAACAGCTACTGACTAGAATCTGAGCAAGTCTGGAGCAAGATTTTATTTACAAAATAAATACTACTAGAATCAAAGAACGTGATGTTTCCTCAGACGGCAGGTCCGCGCTCCCCCCAAGGAGGCAGCCTCCTCACAGCAGGGCGCTCGGTCCTGCCAAAGCAGTGTTTCTTAAACTGTGTTTCCTGGCACACAGGTGTGCCGCGGAGAACAACAGAGTTCAAAATGGCCACTCTTAAAGGGGCAGGCAACCTTTTTTGTCCCCTCAACAACTTCCCCCCTCCCCCCCAAAAAATCCTTGGTGTGCCTCATAAAAAAATTGTTTGGTGTTTCTCGGTCTTAAAAAGTTTAAGAAACACTGCTATAGATGGAAGGGACCTCCAGAGGTCATCAAGTCCAGTCCCCTGCCCTCGTGGCAGGACCAAGCACTGTCTAGATACTGCACAGAGTGTCGACAACTGACACCTGAGGAGCACACAATGGCCCCTTGCCTGAGGAAAGAAACTGGTTTGTGGGTCATGTGATCAGCACATTTTGGGAGGCACCAGCATCCAGGAAAAGATTATAAAAATACCATGAGGGCGCCTCCATCTTGTCTTCAATCCTGCTCCTGATTCCAGAAGCACCTTTGCTATGAAGAGAGGGCCAGGAACTATTTGCTGACCTATCCTGACACAGGATGCACTCGGGACTTTTAAGCTGGCAGTTTGTTACATCTCTGCTAAGAGCCTGCATCAAAAACTTGGTGATCGATGTCTGAAATGTATTCTCCTTAATCTCACTATCAACCTTTTTTTTTTTAATTAATAAACCTTTAGATTTTTAGATTCTAAGGGATTGGCATAGCAGGCTCTTTTGGGTAAAAGCCGAGGTATAAACTGACTGGGGACTGTGACTGGTTCTTTGGGACTTGGAGAACGTGTTCGGAGTTGCTGAGATTGGGTTTTATAACCTCTCGCCAGTATAAAGTGTGGGTCTGGTTGTGGCACAGGGAATACTGATGTGTCTAAGGGGGTTTGCTCATGGGGCTTCTTACTGGCCAGAGTGGCAGCTGAAGTGCTCTGTGTGACTGGTTTGGTGCCTTATAGGGAAGGACCCCAGTCTCGGCCTGTAAGTAGCCTTGGTTTTGAGCAATTCACCCTGCTTTGTCACTCTCAGTGGTACCCAGACCAACCTGTTATATTACAGCCTGGGCTAGGTATGAGGAGGCACCTAGCATTGAAGTTTTAGTGCATTCACTTTACCTGTGGCTTGGGACAGAGGCGAGCAACTGAAGGGTCTTGCTGCTAAAACACAAAACACAGAGTCAGAACAACTACTGAACAAAAAAGTTGCCTATAATACTTAAAAATGTGTAATAATAGTAAGAAAAATGTAGACAAGTAACCTATGGAAACTGCACATACAGAAAAAAATGTTGTATGCATTGCGTATAGCCAGTTTGTGGAGTTTTGCACAGCAACAAGGAAAAAAACACTTTAAAACAGGAAAAGTGGTCATAAAAATCATAAAATGGCAAGGAGACTTGGGTGCCGGTGGCACCCATGAATCTACTTCTAACCTCTTTTTTAAAAACAGCAAAATGACAGCGTTCTTTTACATGGCATTGACTTAATTTTTTAACAAGAACAACACTTACAGAATCTGAAAGCCCACGCAGAGGTAGCAGGGAGGCGTCTGATAGCACGGCTCAACATGGAAGTCATTTTGAAATCTAGAATAGTGCAGGAGAGGAAGGACAGCAATTAACTTGTTCAGAGGTTTCAGAATGGGCAAGCTAGCCAGTCCACATGCAGCCAAAGACAATGGAAATAGAGAAGACCCATCAAGGTCAACCCAGTATCCACTGGGGGAGGGACTTTTTGTGGTGTTTGAGCTGTGCCTAACACTGGAGCTTTAGGCCTGACTAATACAAGTAAATAGTGACTCATTCCTCTTCTAGGATCAGGGCTGTTCAGTATGTTCCAAGGGGTCCTGGACAGACACATTTTAAAATGCCCCCCCACAGACACCACAACAGCTGGAACTTGCTGTGGGGTTGTTCCTGCTGGCACCCAGCCTTTACTCAAGCTCATCTCTGTCCCGATCAGTCACCCACCACAGGCGCCAGCCGACCTGGGGAACCACCCCGGGATTCAATAGATGCAAGTGCCTGGGCCAGCAGGGATCTCTGCCCCCTGAGCCCTCCTGGGGATCAGCTCCAGGGTGAGAGCACAGGCCACCCCTGCCCACAGCTTCACCCAGCCCCTTACAGCCCCTAGGCTCACCTCTCCTGCAGCCAGGCCCCGCCTCCTTCAGCCCCCCCACAGCCCTGCCCCTCCTGCAGCCAGGTCCCTCCTCCTTCAACCCTCTGCCCCTCCTGCAGCCAGGCCCCACCTCCTTCAGCCCTCTGCCCCTCACAGCCCTACCCCTCCTGCCCCCCATCCACCCCCCCCCCAGCCCTGCCCCTCCTGCAGCCAGGTCCCTCCTCCTTCAACCCTCTGCCCCTCCTGCAGCCAGGCCCCACCTCCTTCAGCCCTCTGCCCCTCACAGCCCTACCACTCCTGCAGCAGGCAAACAGACTGCTACCACCACATGGACACAATATAACACAACACCCCCAATGTTGCCATCACCATGGCTACCTGTCGTTCAGGACTATTCCATCCTTTTCTGTGATCCCTGCGCTGCTGCTGCTTGGAGCAGCAGTAATTACTCCACTGCGGAGGCTGGACAACAAGGAACCTAGATCATTGCCCTGTTCTGGCTATTTCCTCTGAAGCATCTGGCACTGGCCACTGTAGATAGAGCAGGGGTGGATATGATATGGCCCGCAGACCAGATCCAGCCAGCAAAGCCATTTCTTCTAGCCCGTGGCCCGCCCTGGCAGGGGAAGTGGGGGCGAGAGAGTTTGCGCATTCCCCGATCCCCGGCTGTGATGATTGGCCTGGGGGCAGGGGAGCATGCGAAGTCTCCTTCCCCCCACCACCACCCGCGAGGGGTGCACAGCACATAGAGAGAGCCACCAGCTGTTCAGACCAACTGGCAGTTCCCTCTCGGCACTGCGTGCCCCTGGTGGGATGTGAGGGAGTTCACGCACTGCTCTGCCCCCAGCCCCCACTCCCAGCTATATGGTTGGCCTGGGGGTTGGGGAGTATGTGTGAAGTCTCTCGCCCCCTAGGGACACGCGGCCCTGAGAGGCACATGGAGGGAACCCATGTGCCTGGGGCTGCTGCAGGAGAGAGCCTGCCTTAGGGACCCTGTTGGACTGCTGGCAGGGAGCCACCTAAGGTAAGTGACTCCCAGCCAGAGCCTGCCTCCAGCACCTCAGCCCCTCCCACTTCCC